CAAATAGCTAGGATTACAGGCATGAGCCACAGGTGCCCAGACTTCCAAATAGCCCTTGGAAAGCCACAGGTATCTAGCTTTTTTGTTTGTTTGATTTGAGATGGTGTCTCACTATATTGTCCAGGCTGGTCTTGAACCCCTGGGTTCATGTGATCTGTAGCCTCAGCCTCCTGAGTAGCTAAGACAATAGTTGCCTACCACTGCATCCAGTCGCTACCTGTAATTTTGAGGTAAATTCTGCCTCTAAAGGAGAGGATTGATAGAGATATTTTAAGCCAAGTTACAAGACTATTCCTACTAACAGTGACTATCCACTTATAATTAAATTATCTGCTTCTAAATTTTATCTGTATTCATCCATTCATACTCTGTTCATATTCCATTTTAAAAAGATGCTGCACAGTTTCATATTACTGCAGATTTGTTCTTGTAGTCAACTCAAAGTTGTTGCTAGTTGAATGTAATTTTTAAACATCAACAGTGACTTTTTCCACTGATGTTGACCACCACCACTCCCTAATATATACTGTATAATTCCTTTTGCATACAATGCTATTTTATATAGTGTTTCTAACCATTGAACAAGTATTTTACAGGGCCCAACACAAGAACAAAGACTTCTTGACATCTTCCTTACTTCGCACTCTGTAAAACATAGTTGTGTGTTTCAGAACACTTGGCACTGACTTCAAATTCCATGCTGGAAAAAAATCATGGTTTCCCAATTATCCATAGCTAACTAACTTAACACAAAAATTGTGCACAGAATTTGTGGAACAGATCTTATTTGAATTGTTTAACATTATACATGAAACACATAATTGTTGATTGATGTGCCTCCATACACAGTTGTGTGGTTAAGGGAGAGTCAAGTTTGTTCAAGAGGAAATATCTTGGATGCTATTCTCTGAATCTACAAGGAAAGCTGCTGAGACATTGGCTAGAGAGCTGGGCTCTGAGTCTTTTATACATGGATGAAAGGGGAAGAATCATGTATTATTTGTAGCATGATTTTAAAATGCTATATAGATTCTTGCTCCTGTACCTACATGTAGTAATTCATTTTAATGGCAAAACTTTGTTCTTTGAAGTTCATTTTTCTTCAACATGTTACATAAGAAAACAGAGCCAAAACACATAAAAATGGATTTCTCTCATCTTCTACAACATAACAAAACAAAACCAAGAAATTTGACACCAAAATATTTTCATAAGCTTTGAAGTAAATCAGGAAAGCATCTTATTTCTGACTCTCATGACTTTTGAAGTTTACATACTCAGTTTTTGACATGACCTGCTATAATTTATTCAAGTAGCAAGCCACCTGTGTTGGTATCAAACTGTAAAAATGAAAAATTAAATGATATAGTATGAAGATAATCAATTTAAATGTAATATTTCTGACAGTTTTCTGCTTAGGGAATTTATTCTGCAAGCTCCTCATAATCATCTGCATTTCAAAAAGAGCAAACACTGATGTTTTGTTCTTTATTAATATAGGAACTAAAAGCCATAAAAGAATTGATTAATAAAACTACGATATTTGAGCAAAATGTGAAAACTTTAAAACTTCATGTCTTAGAAATTCATATTATATATACATATATATATATATATATAATATATATATATATATATATACAACTTTTTCACTTATGTTTGGTCAAAGAATTATCTTTTTTAAAATTTGCCTTTAAAAATGTCCTATGCCTGACATATTCTGATAACTACAAACTTTATTACAGTTGTAAGTACTTTTGTTCTGCTGATTTTGCTTGATTTTACTAAGCTCATTTACTAAAGAGTAGAAATTATGCCAACATGAAAGAAATAAAATATCTATGGACTTGTATTAGTAGTAAAAAAAAATACCAGAAATTTGTATAATAACATTGCACTAATCGAGTTCCATACTAGTAAACAACAGGAACACAAACATTGCAGACAGAAATACAAATAGGTGCAACTGTGGAAATCTGGCTGAAACTACTAAAATTAAACATATTGATATGAACATATCCATGCCATTCCTATAATAACAGCAATCTCTTTCCTAGAGAGAGTCTTTGACAACATGCTTAGTTCCAAAGGCACACATAAGAAATCACCACAAAAGATGTTAACAGCTATTCACAGTGCACCACACAAGCTGCGACTTGAAAAACATCCAAATATCCATTGAACAGGCCAGTGCACATCTTAACTGTAATGTATTCTTACAGTGGACTACCGTATGTGATGAGAATGAGTAAATTCCTGCTATATGCAACAATATGGCCAATTCATGTGAACTTCATGCTCAGAAAAATAAAGCAGACACTAGTAGGTATTTATATAAAGTTCAAAAGCAAGAAAAAGCATATTTGTTGTTTACCCAGAGAGCAATTACCTTTGGGGTAAGATAATACCTGTGAAAGGATATGGTGGTGGGAGAGAGCAGGGTGAATGCCCCTGGAATATTGACATTTCTGCTTTTTGATCTGTGATATCTTCACCTGGGTGTATTCCCTTGTGAAAACTTTGCCTAAATGGAAACTTATTTCTGTACTTTTAAAATATGTATATTATATGTCAATAAAAATTTTAAAATCTTTAAAACCTATGAAAAATGTGTGCATTAGTAAATTATTTAATTACCAGTGTTGGTGGTTTTGGTTACTATTCTTGCTTCCATATTACCCTGGAACAAGTTTAAATTACAGTTAAATAAGAAGAATAACTTCTGGTGTTCTATATCAGTAATGTGACTATAGTTAACCAAATGCAGTATATATTTCAAAATCACTAGGAGAGGTAATTTTGAATGAATATTTACCAAAAATGATAATATTTAAGGCAATGGGTATGTCAGATATGATGACTTGATCATTATACAATGTGTACATTTGTCAAAACATTATACTGTACCCAGTAAATATGAGCAATCATTGCGTGACAACTGAAAAATAAACTTTAAGATAAAAATTAAATTTAAAAACAAATAAATAGGAATAATTAATACTGAATAGTTCTCTATTTTTCCTTTACTTGTAACCCTTTTTCTTAAAACATAACAAGTAGACTTTATGAGCAAAGAATTGTTTCCATAAAGATAATTAATTTACAAATCATTTCCAGTAGAGGGATCTTCTCTTTCTTTAGTATGTAAGTCCTCTTTCAAGAGCCATTACTGAAAGTAAAAATATTTAAGTTGTTATATCTGATTAAAGTCTTCATAGAACGATGACTTTATCATTCTAAACCAACTCTAAGATCTGGAAAATCTTATTTTATTAATGAAAGGAAGAAAATTAGATAAAGAATATAAGTATCACATAAACTTCTATAATTGGGTATGTCTTTTTCATAGGATTACATGTTTGGATTATTCATAAAAAGCATTTCTATTATCATTTAATCTAAAATCACTTAACATTAATGAAGAAAAATTGTTATAATTATGATCATATTGTGAATTTTAATAAAATTAGTCACAAATCAGAGATCTAGTGATGAAGATTAGGTACCTAGGAATATATTATGATAGATCATGGTGAATTGACATTACATAAATTTGACCTCATCTACAAAAACATCTTTTTACTGACCTGAAGTATCTATTAAGTAAACTAATTAGATTTCTTGGAAAGAACGCATAGTATTGCCTATGATACTAAACATCAAAGAAGAAATAAATTATAGTCAAACTAACCAATTTCTATTATAAATGAACTTCGTACTCTTTTCATAAATGTAAAAGCTTCACATACTTTGTTTTGCTCACTGCATATAAGATTTCTGGAAATGGTAAAGTTACAAAAATTGACTAAATCATATTAAAATTACTTTACTGAAAATAATTTAAATCATTTGAATCAATGGGTTAAGCCATTAATTTATTTTAAAAATCAATAATTTAATAAACATGATAACCTTCTCAACTGGTTCCTATTATCTATAAGCATATTAAGATAATATGACTTTCTGTAAGGTAGTCTATGAGATGAATTATGTTTTCTTAAGGGAGCCCAAAAATTAAAATTGACATATTAACACAGAAAAGAAAATTTACATACTTCAAATAGAAATCAGTATACACATAACTGACTTAGTTACTATAATTATCTAACTTTGACTCTCTTGAAGAACTAGTCAGCTATAAAATGGAAATCGTCCATTAATTATATGGTAATAGTCAAAGAAAATTCTATTGGTAGCTCAAAAATTTATCTGAGCAGTATCTTATTTTTTATGGAATGTTTGATTGAGAATAGGGGTTAAATTAATCTGATCTTTTCCCTATTCTCTTTACATTAATTAGAAAGAAAAATAAAGAAAGCCTATTTTAATATGATTAGAACATAATGGCATATTTTAGAACAATTGTATAATATACCTGTTATAATGCCTTTTAAAAAAGAATCTTTGACAAAGAACATATCTAATAACTTATTTATGATTTTGCTTCCATGAGATACTATGATATTAAAGTAGGTCTTTACAAAACAGTACCTGTAAAGCCCTTATGTTTTGTTCATTTGACTTAATCTCTGGACCTATCAATGTTCAGCTTCTGTGATGATTAGATTCTTAAGTTCCATATTTTTGCATTTAAGTTAGTAATGTCTCATTTCCAGTTACCAAATTTTTTGTAGCTTTAAAAACCAAAGTAACTCCTAGAATATACAATTCACTTTAAAAATGAAAACTCTAAGAGCAATTTGTGAGAAATAAATTTTAGGCTTTGGAAATGAGTTTTTATACAGTAATCTCAGCTGCCAATGACATCAAATGCCAGTTACTTAAATACAGCAATGAAAATAACGGGAAATTACCTATTTTTCAGAGGTCTCACTAGACTGCTACACAATAGTTTTAGATAGAAAAAACACAATTTAAAGGACAGTTTCAGTCAGCTTTAGAGAGAATTGCAAATTTCTTAGCTCCATCAATAACAAGTGGTTGCACCCCAGTGCACCAGTTCAATGAGTTGTCCAACTGTTAAATACAAGTAGACTGACCTGAGTAGCAGCGCTGCTTCCCAGAAGTAAAATCCAGAAACTAATGTCCGAAAGTGTCTCACGTGGGCCATGGTACGGAGAGGTATTCACGATCCTGAAAATCGTCTTATCCAAGTCACGGGGAATCGGAGACAGAAGTGAAAACGTGTGATCCACCCCGCGCGCTGCTGTGGTTGCAGACGCTTGGGAAGCTTCAGCACCACAGACAGCTCCCCGCAGCAAGGGGACCTCCCTCCGCTGAGCAGGCGGGAGAGTGACGCAGCCCACGCGTGCAAGGGATGTTCACAGGGAAGGAAGGAGGGAGAGGCGATGTCTGAAGCGCCTAGGTTCTGAGCAACAGTTCCTAGACGCTCTGGCGGCAAAGACAGAATAAAGGATCGTCTTTCCTCGGATCACACCCAGGCCTGGAGGAAGGTCAGCGGCGACAGCCAGCGCAGGTTGCTCCTGCACCTGGTCCCAACGCCGCCGGCCCCCGGGAATCTCGCGCGCACCTTTGGGGGAAACCCGGGCAGCAAGGCAAAGGGGGCGGGGCGGGGCCAGAGGACCCTGCCTTGCCCGCCAATCACGACCGCACAGCAGCACAGAGTGACAGGCCACTTACAACGGTAGGAGGTGCTTATCTTTTAACACTCCTCCCCCTCCCCCCCCTGTCAAAAAATAAGGCAGCCTGGAACTGGTGCAGAGCTCAAACAGCAACTGGAGGGAGTTGGGGGAAAGAAGCCTCAGAGCTGAGAACTGGGAGAGTCAGTGGCTTTGAGGATTAGGTTAGCACTAAGCGGAAGGGACCTTCCCTTCCAGGAAAAGACACGACTTAGTTGAAAGGTCTGTTCGGATGTGACCCTGTCTCCTAGACCTTACACGGAATTAATTGCAAGAGTCAACAGTAAACCCAGACCCTTGAAAGGGGTCGGGAGAGCTAAGAGAACTTGCTGCATGATCACAGGCAGAGCCCAAGAACCAGCTGCTTCTCCAACCCGTCACAGGCCAGTCAAAGTGATTGACTGCTCTAAGGGAGTTTCCTTCAGTAATAGTAAGGATTCTAGAAAGATGAAGGTGGGAAATCGGGGAGGTGGCTGCTGGATATAGTAATTTGTAATTTTTTTTCTTACCATTTAACATATCTTCATAGTAAGTTTAAGTGGGAAGGACAATTAACTCGTTCTCATACAGTATCATTTGGTACAGCCTTTCTTTCACCATTTCAGATCTCTCTCTCTCTCTTTCTCTCTCTCTCTCTCTCTCTCTCTCTCTCTCTCTCTCTCTCTCTCCTCCTTCTCCTCCTCTACCTCTTCTTCCTCTCCCGCTCTCCCTCTCCTCTCTTTCTTCTCTTCCTTTATTCCTCCTATTCACTTACACTGGATCTTTAGAAGCTATTCCATAGCTGTTGGACTATACTTATAAAAAATCAGGATATGAATTTTGAAAAATATATAATTAACAAATTTGATCTAATTGAGTAGTTATATATTACATTCCTAAATATTGTAATGAACATTATTTTTAAACTTGAATTGTACATCTATAAAAACTGAACACATTGTAGGCTATAAACAAAGTTCAACTAATTTAAAGAAGTGCTATAATCTCAGAGGATTCATTAATAACTGAAACTGAATAATGCTAAAAACAGAAGGGCTGGGCATGTGGCTCAAATGATAAAGCACTTGCCTAGCAGGCACAAGGCCCCAAGTTCAAACCCCAGTACTGCCAAAAAAAGTGTGTGTGGAGGAGAAACTATACAGTGCAAATCAGAAAATATTTACAGTTTAAGGGCAATGAGAATATTATTAACTAAATGGAGCTAGAGCTGCATTAAATAATTTTAAAACAAAAGCTAAAAATCAATGACATAAACATATAATTTAAGGTGTTAGAATAAACAACTTAATAAATCTTATAACTACAAGAAGAAGGATATGAACAAGAACTTAAATAATTAACAAGGTGAAAAACAAAGATAAAATAGGTAATCATGAAGGGTAGAAGCTTTTCAATAGATTTTATTTATTTTATTCTTTTATTCATATATGCATACATTGTTTGGGCCATAGATTTTAAATGTAACAAATTTCTAGCAATGATGAGCAACAACAACAAAAAAAATCAGAGAGAAGCAACAGATAAAGAGTACCTATTATCAAGAGTAATATTATAGTTAGCCAGAATGTTTACTAAAAATATCAGGAAGAAAAATGTCTGACAAGACAAATGTAATATTTTATAAAAGTGAATTTTAAAATATGAAATAGTTTATTCATATAGTTAAAGATTGTCAACCTTGCTTATAATTAAAGAATGCAAATTAAATCATGAGGCACAACTTCAGAGCTAAGAGACTGGCAAAAGTTGAGTAGCTTACTTGGTTGGTGAGGTTGCTCTTGGTGTAATGTTCTAAGTTTTTCCTCCTGAAAGACCTGAAACCCTGGTTACCTCATCCTTTCTTAGTCATATGTAGTGTATTCAGCAATTTATTACTGAATGAAATAGAATGAAATCACTATGAGACAATGCACTGGATCCTCAAAATTTCTAAAGAATTGTAGGAAATTATATTATGTAACAGAAATCTAAGCTCCTCATTTTGATCAAGATCGACTGCCCTGGCTACAGAAGTGACTTCTTTCTTTGCTGAATCACTGACATGATGAAGACTGATAATTGGCCACATGACTGGGAACAGTACAATGGAACCTTCACTGCATCCCTGCCAGACACGATCTGCCTTGAAACCAGGACCTGTAATCTGGCAAGACCAAAGGATCTAAAGTTGTGAGCAAAAATTCTCTGAATCACTGAGAGTGAAGAAGAAAATGGCTAATCCTAATTTTACTCCTATATTCTTAAGCTTACATATCCTCAGCATTGGTAACTGCATTTGTTTGCTTGGGCTGACATAACAAAACACCACAGACTAGGCACTTAAACAGCTATAATTTATTTTCTCACTTTTGGAGATGGGAAGCCTAAGATCAAGGTGTCCATAGGTTTTTTGTTATTGTTTTGGCAATACTGGTGTTTGAACTGAGGGCTTTGAGATTGCAAGGCAGTAGCTCTACCACTTGGACAATGCCTGCAGCCCCTTTTTGGGGGGGGATATTTTGGAGACAGGGTCTTGCTTTTTGCCCAGGTCAACTGGGATCATGATCCTCCTATTTTGGCTTCCTGCCATAGCTGGGACAACAGACATGTTGTACCACACTCATTTTTTTTACATTGAAACTGGGTCTTGCAAACAATTTGACCCTGGCTGGCCAGAGCCCCAATCCTCTGGATCTCAGCCACCCATGTAACTTGGAATGACAGGTGCATAACACTTTGCCCAGCTATTGGTAGAGACAGGGTCTCATGAACATTTTGTCTTGAACAGCAGCAGCAGTCTTCCAAATCTTAGCCTCTCAAAAAGCTAGGATTATAGATGTGAGCCACTGGTGCCTGGCTGGGTTTGGTCAGCTTTTTAAGATGCTTATTTGTTTCTCAGCTGATAGCAGCCTTCGTAGAATGTGTGCAATTCTACAGTTGCTTGTGATAATGTTCTCTTCATCCTCTATCTCACCAGGTCCTGTTCTGTAGTCCTTTGGGTTATAGTGTTTATAATTATTCCATCTACTTCCATTATTTTGTGATAGAGTTTGCCTGCTTTTATAATATAGGGCTTTGACCAAAGAATCTAGAGTTTAATTGATATATTTAGTAAAATATTCAGACTAGACAGTTGAACCTGAATATGGCTGTTATAGGATGAACTGTATCTCCCTAAAGGAGATATGTTTTAGTGCTGGCATCCAGTGTCTCAGAAAGTGACCTCACTTGATAGGGTCTTTATAGAGGTAATCAAATTAACATGTAAGCTATAACCCAACAGGGTTGATATCCTTATGAAAAGAGGAAATTTGGACACAGTGATAGTCAAGCATACAGGGAAGGTGGCCATTTATAAGCCAAGCAAAGAGACTTGGAATAGATAGTTCCCTCACAGTCCTCAGGAGGAACCAGCCCAGCCATACCTTAATTTTAGACATTTAGCATCCAAAGCTGAGGCAATATATTTCCTACGCCATCCACTGTGCAATACTTTGATAAAGCAGCCTAGAAAACAAATACACATAGTTTTCTACACCTTTTGACTAAATTCCTGATCACCTGCGGTTTCCAAATCAAATAAATTGTCCTTGAAATCAATCAACATCTGGAAATAGGAAAATAACCTTTCAAATTCTTGGAAAAACACACCTCAAACACGTCCTTAAATTCTTAGAGGGAAATTTAATATTAGCGCTAGAGAGAAGCTGGACTCGATCCTCTGTCCCTGAGGTTGAGATTGTGCCTAAAGATGTGGGAACAGGAAGACTTTGTCCTGCCCCTCAGCAGAGAACTGGCAGCATCCCTGCCTCTATACCACTAACTCGGTGTTGCAGAAACTAACCAGGCTGCCTCCACTTGTTTAGTCCTACATCAGATCTAAGGGCTAATAAAGAAAACAACAAACAGCCAGAGAGAGGAAGATCAGTCAGTACAAATGGAGCTCATGCCAGCCAAATAGATGTGCTGTTGGAGACAGGAAGTCATTTGAACAATAACAAGAACTCTTAAGGAAATTCAAGTGCACCCCAATTGCACGTGCCTTCTGAAATAAAAATGACATGATTTTCCAATTAAATACTTCAGTAGGTAAGCTAAAGGACAGTTTAATAATTAAATTTTGAATTCATTTGCTAATAGAGAAGATTTACTGGAAGAAATGTCTCATAGCACAGAGGTAAAAGTTATGATAGAAAAACAACCAACCAACCAGATACTTGGATAGTAAATGAAATAAAAAGACCATACAAAATTAGGACTTACATAAGACAAAAATGACAGAAACTTAAGAGTAGTAAATAAACAAATGTATGAGGTGATAGTTTAATGAGCTGAAGAAACAACAAAAAAATTAGATTCATTAATCTCACTAAGTTTTAGGAAGTTTTGAAGTGAAAATAAAGCTAGTCAAACCCTGTTATAATTAACAAGTTTAAAAATAAGAGAAAAGCTACTGTAAGTTTTCTGTAGTCTAATGAAAAATCTAAAAAAAAAGGCAAAAAGAAACTAGCAATTTATCAAAGGAAGA